CCTTGTAAAAATTGCGAAATCCAACTCTGATTTTCTACAATAAAATAATAAATAAATTAATTTAAAAATGTCTGTTTCCAAACCCAAGTAATAAACAAAATTTTAAAATATCAATGAGGTTTTTATTGCTATGGTTTTCAGTGATTCCCACCGTATTGTTTATTATTGCGTCGAGTACTTTATTACTGGGACCCACTCCCAAAGTTTCAATGTCTTATTGGTATGAAGAAGTATTAGCCAACAAATCAAATGCCAAATTTCAAAACGACTTTGTTAATTTCAATCGCTTGAATTACAGTGGTGAATGCGGCGAAGTCTTTAAATACCGTCCAAACAACGATCGTGACTATGTCATTGGCTCTTATAATTTCAACTCTCATGTTCCTTGTATACCCAAAGAGATGTGGGACACACTAATCATGGCACGCACATCTATGCCACACTCACACTTTGTTTTTATCATATACAAATTTCCACAACCAACTTGTCACGACTTGGAACGTCTTAAAAAGCTTCGAGTTGAAGTGGTGCGTGCTTTTCGGAATGAAACAGAAGACGCAAGTTGCACGCGGTTTTATGAGATTGAAAAGTTTATTACAATTAACTACAACAAAATAGACCGACTTGTTTTAATTGATTTGCGAGACACACTCTTCTATGGAGACTTCTTTGCGACATTTCATGACGATGAAGTCGCTTACATCACTGAATGCTTTGGCACTAAAATCACTGAGAACTGCTGGGGGCCATATTTGAAAGAGGATCACTACCTTTGGATTGTCAAATACTTTGGAAGGCAAATAGCAGATGATCTTGCAAAGACGGGACTTCCTGAGATAAATGCCGGCTTTGGGTTTGGAGGGATTAAAAAGATGAAACGGTTTGTCGAGGTCTATAACACTTATATGGATAGAAAGAAAATGCAGTGGGGGTATGAACAAAGCCTTTTAAATGTACTAATTTATAATGGGACGTTTTCTGATATTGGTATGAAAACTATAACTTGTGAACAAAGGTTGTGTTATATAGGACTCGAAGCATTCACTCTTGAAAATAAAAATATCTATTTTAATGGGTCAAAATGCTCACCAGTTGCCAGTCATAAATTTACTGCTAAAAATACAGTTGAGTGGAAAGTTAGATAAGAAAATTGTCGAGAAAATTGAATCTATTGATTTTTTTTGTTTTTTTTTTCAAATGTCAACAAGTCGTTTTTTAATGTTCAAATATTTGAAATTATTTAAATTTAAATAAAACTTATAAATTTTACCTCAAGAGCAAAACATTTTTAGACTGAAACTAAAAACAGAGTTATCTAAAGAACGGTATTTAAGGTTTTATTGTCTAAAAATCTCCCGGTTTTGACAGATTTGTTTTATCTTTTTAAGTGTACAAATTCTATGAATGTGAAATGTTATTAATTAAAAATACATTAAAACGCAATGTTAATATTATACGTTTAAACACATAAACTTTTTCATTATATAATTGGGAGTTGTTTGTATGAATAAGTATTGACTTATTAAATTATAACTTTAATCAGTTGTAATTTTGATAGAAAAAATATTTAATTATATAATATATAATAAATAATTTAATTTATCATATATTACACGTACCACTTTTAGTCTCATATATCATATAAATGAATACCAATCATTCAAATTTAGATGTAATTTAATATTAATATTTAATATTTGAATTTTAATTATTACACAATAAGTTGACATTAAAAAAATGAAGTTAATTAATGTCTTTAACTTTGTAACTTAAAAACATGTTTTACTAGTAATAGAATGTTGATATTTTTTCTCTTACTTCTCATAAAATCGTTCGGGCAACCAGACAAGAAAAAAGAAGAAGACAAACAACAAGAGGAATTTCCTTCCCTTCAACCACTTGCTCAAAATCTTCCTCAACAAGTTCCAGTTCAAGAACTGCCTCCACGTTTCAGAGGCAGGGGAAGGTATCAAAGACCCCCATTCCGTCCACAGTATTTTCAACAACCACCACATCAATTTCGACCACATTTTTATCCTCAACAAACAAGATATCAACAGCCAAGATATTTACCACCTTTTCAACAACAACCAAGAAGACCTTTAGAAATACCTCAACCCCAACAACAACCACCTGGTCCTCCTCATGTTCCTCAGATGCCACAACAAACCAGGTATCCAATGTATCAAAGAAAAGAAAAGGAATTACCAAAAGAGTCTCCAATACCACCACAAACTCCTCAGAAAGAAGAGCCTGTTGTAAGACCTAAAACAACTCTTCCACCACAAAAAGTTATACCTCCACAACAAACACCACCAGTTCATATTCAAACACAAGAAGTACCAAAACAAAAAGAAGAGGCTGTTCCACAAGAAATCACTTTTTATCAAAAAAGGAAAAAAGAACGTGAAAGAGAGGCTGAGAAATTGGAATTTCCATTTTTACCACCAAAAGCTAAATACCCAAATCGAATTCCAGTGACTCCAGACATTTACCCCATGAAAAAAATGCTTGAGACATTGTCTTCTTATTCGATGTGTAAATTCTATATGGATCAATTTGTTCCAGACTTCATAGTGCATTCACGATATTGGCTTGGTGAGTTGTGTGTAGATGGACATTGCAATTTTCCGGTTAAAACAACAGTCAAAGAAGGATTTATATTACACGGGTATTGGCCACACTATTATAAAAACAGAAATCTGTTCTGTTGCACTAACTTTTTTGGCCCAGATAACGCAGAGAATATGCTTTTAAGAGATCAAGACTTAATAAAAGAAGTTAATCTCAAGTGGATGTCTATTGGAATGTGTCGTTTTGCCATCTATCAATGGGACAAACACGGAAGTTGCACAATGAAATTGTTCAAGGGGCCGAATGGTCCAATTGATTATATGAGAACTGCATTAAATTTGTATGACGAAGTTGACATTTGGGAATTACTACAGAAAAGCGAGTTAAAAGTTGAAGCTGGAAAATATTATGAAAGAAAGGAATTAAAAAGAATTTTTAAAAATTACTTTGGTGTGGAGGTATCAATTAGTTGTAGAAATCAAATATCTCTTTATGAAGTCAAAGT